AAGTTAGGACCTTCTCTCTCAGTTAGCTGGTTTCCTCCTCCTCTCAAAAAAATCAAAATCCTCCTCACTAAAACCCTAACATTTCCCAGAGCTTCATTATCGCTGTTTCTCCGTCTCGTTTCTTTCCAAAAGGATCAAGCTTTTGATTCAGATCACGAAACCCTTTTGTTTTTTTGGTAAACCCAGATTAAATCAGAGAGATGAGATATCAACAATGGCGATTGCTGCTTCTTCGAAGCTACCATCGATCTCATCTTCCTTACCCTTCTCCTTGTTCTCAGTTTCTTCAGGTAACCTCCATTTCCACCAGATCTATCTCTTCTTTCCCTCATTCTGAGATCGGAGCTTTGCAACAAAGCGAAGAGCTTCGTTCGTTAAGATCCCCAATGACGAGCTCTGCATCTCTGGTGAAATCACTGGGTCGAAGCTTCTCCTCCGAGCCTGAGATTAAGGAGAAACCTGCTGCTGAGTCTACCGTGATTGATATCTTTAGCAGATTGAGTGTTGAGGATGAGATTAAGAAAGAGTTGGAGTCGAGTGATATCGTGATTAGTCAAGATTTAGCTTTGAAGGTTTTGAGAAAGCTCGAATCGAATCCAGATGTTGCGAAAAGGTTTTTCCAGTGGATTACGGAGGCTTCTCCTGAGGAACTTACCTCGAAAAACTATAACATGATGCTGCGAATTCTGGGTGGTAATGGACTTGTTGATGAGTTTTGGGGTTTGGTTGATGCTATGAAGAAGAAAGGACATGGTTTATCAGCTAATGTTAGAGATAAAGTGGGCGAGAAATTTGAGAAAGATGGGCTTGAGAATGATTTGGTGAGGCTGAGAAAGCTTTTCGCTTCAGATGTTTTAGATAACTCGGCGGAGAAAGTTTGCGATAAGGTGTGTAAGATTGTGATGAAGAAAGAATGGAATGATGATGTGGAGAAACGGGTGAGAGATTTGAATGTTGAGTTTCAAAGTGATTTAGTGAAGATGATTGTGGAAAGTCTTGATGTGGAACCTAGGAAAACTTTGTTGTTCTTCCGGTGGATTGATGAGTCTGGTCTCTTTAAGCATGATGAGAAAACCTATAATGCTATGGCTAGGGTTTTGGGAAGAGAGAAATTTCTCGATAGGTTTCAGAACATTGTCGTAGAAATGAGGAGTGCTGGTTATGAAGTGGAATTAGAGACGTATGTTAGAGTTTCGACGAGGTTCTGCCGGACTAAATTGATCAAGGAAGCTGTTGATTTGTTCGAGGTTGCAATGGCGGGTAGTAGTAGTAACAAACCCACCCCACACTGCTTCTCTTTGTTGCTTAAGAAAATTGTCACTGCCAAGATTCTAGATATGGATTTGTTTTCAAGAGCTGTGGACGCGTATACCACTAATGGTAATGTTTTGACGGATGCTATGTTAAAATCTGTCTTAAAGTCCTTAAGCAGCGTAAATAGGGTTGCCCATATCATTGAGGTGTTGAAAGCAATGAGTAAAGGAGGCTATGTTCCGAGTAGTGATCTGCAGAGCATGATCGCATCAGGGCTTAGTCGTAAGGGAAAGAAAGACGAAGTCGATGAACTTGTAGACTTTATGGAAGCATCTGGAAATAATCTAGATGACAAGGCAATGGCATGTCTTGTTGAAGGGTATTGTGATTCCGGGGAATTTGAGGAAGCTATAGTGAGTTTCGAAAAAATGGCTGGAAAACCGGGAGTCTCCTATGCTGATGATGCATTGGAGAAGTTGGTTCATGTTTACTGTAACAAGAATCAGGCGAGGGATGCATACAAGCTGTTGAGTGCACAAGTAAAGCAAAATGAGCTGAAACCTCGTCATAGCACGTACAAACTCTTGGTGAAGAATCTGTTGACGAAGAAGATTGCAAGAGATGGTGGGTTTGAAGAAGCTTTGAGTCTACTACCGATAATGAAAGATCACGGGTTCCCTCCTTTCGTTGATCCATTCATGAATTACTTCTCCAAAACTGGAGAAAGCAACGAAGCTCTCGGTTTTCTGAAGGCTATGACCTCGAAGAATTTTCCAGCTACCCCAGTGGTTCTGCGTTTATTCGAGACTATGATGAAGTCAGCAAGGCACAGTGAGGCACAGGATTTACTCTCTGTGTGTCCAAACTATATCCGCAACAATCCAGATGTTCTAGAACTCTTCAATTCCATGAAACCTAATGAATCTGCTGTAGAAAAACCATTGGCTTCTCCTGCTTAGCTCCAGTTTTAGTTTACGTTTCTTCAATTCTTTTTGTTTCTGGGCATTTGATTTCAAAATTTTGGCCAGAGAAATTTTCTACTGTTTCCTTTTGTTTACATGTATCACCATGCACCAGTTCACTGTCTTCATCAACTTGGTGCACTGGCAAAATAATTTCAAAGGTACTCTGTCTTTGTAGTTTTTGATCATCTTCTGCTTCTTGGCTCTGCCATGGATCCTCATGATTATTCTGAGTATTATTAGCAAGATCTGTCTGTAACTCCATTTTCGTTTTTTTTAGCTTACTCTCTGTACCAATGTATTGCCTTGCCTATTGATCAGATACTTGTGTTTGACATTGTCAAGTGCTTATGGTATTAAAATGGAAGATCCTTGATGCTGAATTATTTTTTGTTTATAAAAGTCTCATTGTCTCTGTTTACTTAACTTGAAATTTGAAAAGTAAATGATGTGCCAAAACCCAAAAGAAGCTTCACTCTTGTTGTTGAGATTCAACCAAGCCTTTTGTATTCCTTGATGGGCTTGAAAGATTTTAGACACCGAAAGCAATCCACTAGAGCAGAAACAGAAGAGACTCAAGGTTAGCTTCCATATTCTTTGTTCTTTTCTGATTTATTGATAGAGAAACAGGACCACAACTACAATCAAATAGTAGTGGTGGTCTTTGTCGCGTTCTATATCGATCTTTTTGTTGTTGGTTGGATCTTGATCTGTAAATGTGAATGATTCAAAGCTTGCACCGTTTTCATTCTCATTGTCAATAGCATCAATTCCTGCAAAACTCATTTTGATTTTTTTTTTTGTTCCTGGAGAGAGTGTGGATGAGTAAAAGGACTGAACGAGGAGGAACAGATCGGCGAGAGAGTGACATAGCAACATAAAAAGACAAGCTTTGAATTATGTTCTTCCAAGAAATGAGACAAAAAGAGTGAAAGAAAGAGAGAGATGTGTCATCATTCCTTTATGATTAGTTGCTATATACAAAAGGGGACCGTTTCAAACCCTTGGACTCACTCGACGGGTTTCTGGTTTTTGAAGCAAAGTCTTAAGATTTTTTTTTTTTTTGTTTGTTGGTTGTAAGAAAAATAGAGGTTAAAGGTTTCACATTTCAAGGAGGAGACAAAGTTTCTATCACTTTCCCCGGAAAAGCTAAAAAGAAACATAGAAAAGGAAAAAAGAGTGAAAAAAGGAGAGGAAAGAAACCAAATCTATAAGCACTAAGCACGCTTAGTTACCTTCTTGCTTGGGACCGAAAATGTAAAAATCAAAATTTTACGCATGTATCAAGTTAGAAACCAATTCTGCACTAAGCACAATAGATTTGGCATTTGGTATGTTAGGTGAATCATAAACGCATTGAACACATGATCTAACTCTATCAATTGTTCAACACATTCAAACAGAAGGTACAAAATTTACATAAATAATGTTATAAAGTTTACCATTTTTTACTAAACTACCCATTTTAAAATTCAAATTGCAAAAATGACAGAAAATAAAAATAAAAACAAATCCATGTTTCTCTTTCATCTAGGCAATTGATGTTTTATCAGATTTTACTTAAAATTTGTTTTATCAGATCATCGGTGTAGACAATATCTTCTTTAATTTGGAGAAACTGCGAAGTTCACTGTTATTCGTTGTTGTGTAATAATTCATA